CACAAAACTGACATTTGGGGATGAAATTCAATTCAAGTTAGACACTGTTGTACTTCGACACTGTTGAACGCCCCTGCTTTAATCCTGCGCTAAGTGTTTCTAATTAAAGCAATATTAGTTTCAAAAGACGAAATATAAAGTCAGAAAGATCCGAACTAAGAGTCTTAAGCTGTTGATTTGACGAAGCCCAATAGACTTCAGATACTGAGTATGAAAATAAAAATGAAGTGTCTGCTCCACAGAATTCTTTCGATGAGTCTTTTTTTGCAAAGAAAGATTTCAGAACTTCGAGGTATCATGATTGGCACTTAACAAGCCCTAAATGCAACTTTATCATCTTGGTTGTAGCTGCTTCTCAACTTAAAGTGAGCGGAATCCGAGTCTTTTGAAACTAAAGTTGCTTTGATTAGGTCTTGTGATTGATCCAATGTTATCAGCGCAGTCCACTAATCTCTTAGGACTGGTGTTCGAGTTGGAAACAATTTTTTACCGTTGAATTTTTTGTTCTTTTTTTTGGAAAGTTTTTTTCCACTTGCAATATTCATTTTGATCTAGAGCCATAAACATAGTGAATACTCTTGTATATTTCTTGGTGCTTTTTTCTTTTTGATTTTTTTCAGGAGAAAGTCTTCACATTTGTTCACGCTCAAAATTGACTCATGATGTTTTTTAAGTTCAGTTCATTTCCATTGTAAACAGGAAGAATAACTCCACTATCAGGCAGAAAAAGTGTAAAGGTCACAAAAAACGTCCTTGCGTTCAAGGTTTTTGTCCAACTCTGTTAGCCATGTTTATGTAGCCACCTGACAGTTTTAACGTGCAATAGGAAGTTTGGACCGAAAACTCAGAAAAGATATCAGATTATTTTTTGGAAGCTATTAATGAAAAGCCGTTTTGATGTTCGTAGATATTTAGTCAGTTTTCTGCAAATACATAATTTTTCGATTCGAAAAAAGTGACGGAATATTTGCGCTCGGGGGGATATTTTTCTCCAGACCAATTTCGACTTTCTAACTAGCTATTTTTGACCGGATTTTTTTAATCATCAGAAAGGTATCGTTCTGTGCTTTTTAAAAAAAAAGATATTTCACCTGATAATTCAGGGTTTAAAGATATCCAATTAATGTATTTGGGATCTTTTAAAGCGGCGATTTTTCGTGCTAATAACGCGTAAGAGGTGATTTAATCTATCTTAGAAATCGTTGCAAATTGAATTCAAGCTTGCTATGTGGTCTATTTAATACTTTGCTATTTGCCTTTTTATCACCTTGTACTTTACATAACTTGTGGGGAATGATTTCCGAAAATAACAACAAACATTTTTTAAAAAAAAAACCGTTTTCTGAAAGTCTGATCTATTTTATCAAACCGATTACCAGTTCATAGACATTACAGGGTAATCGGAAAATTCAGGGCGCTGCCCTGATACAAGCAGTCTCGTTTTGCTTAGTGCCGTGGAATTTCACTAACGAAAACCTATTTTATCTTGAAAAAATTTCTAAGTCATTGAACGAAAGTTTTGCCGTTTTACCATCGATATAGATTGCGGCTAGATGCATTCATTTCTTGTTTAATTAATGAAATTGAAGTCCGATAAATAATAAGATCTTCAATTAAAAAGGATGCCGGACGTTTTTAGATATCAAGACTGATTTGAGTTAAACAGTGGCATGTTAACCTGCCGAATGAACAATTTGCCGAAATTATCAAAAATCAGTTCGCAGAGTACTCGTCGAGTCGATTCGCTGCATTCTTTTTAGCATTAAGATATTTTTGATAGTAACAAATTGTCTATTGTTGTGCACCGCTGGCTTTTTTGCGGCCTAAGTCTCCCTTTTGCTCACATCAGACGACATGCGACGACATAAGTGGACGAAACTCTAAATTACCGGCTTGAATGAGATGCATATTCTCTTATTGCCTCTGTTAATTGTTATTAACATATAATGTAACTTCGCTGAGAACTTGATGTAACTAGGTATAAAAATAAATCTTCCGCTTTGCCGGCTAACTGACAATTAGGTTTCTTGATTAATCACCAGTTGAACAACTGATATTGAATAAAACAAATATTTAAGTATCCGATTTCATTTTGAAAATTTTAAGTTTGCCCCATAAACATCTTTGAATGACTCTGAACAAACCAATATAATAATTCGCAACTCGAACAGTTGTGGTTTTTCTTCGAATCCGTATTTCAACCTCAAATGAAGTACAATCAGCTACAAACTCTACGTTATTACTAGGTTTACTAAAGCTGTCCTTCTGAACCTAATACTTAGTAAACCTAGTAACGTAGTGTTTTTGAAAATTTCCAACATTGTTCTAGTTTTTGGATATTCACTTGATACCTCAGTGGCAAAGTTTTCACAAAACTGACATTTGGGGATGAAATTCAATTCAAGTTAGACACTGTTGTACTTCGGCACTGTTGAACGCCCCTGCTTTAATCCTGCGCTAAGTCTTTCTAATTAAAGCAATATTAGTTTCAAAAGACGAAATAAAAAGTCAGAAAGATCCGAACTAAGAGTCTTAAGCTGTTGATATGACGCAGCCCAATAGACTCCAGATACTGAGTATGTAAATAAAAATGAGGAGTCTGCTCCACAGAATTCTTTCGATGATTCTTTTTTTTTGCAAAGAAGGCATTCAGAACTTCGAGGTATCATGATTGGCACTTAACAAGCCCTAAATGCAACTTTATCATCTTGGTTGTAGCTGCTTCTCAACTTAAAGTGAGCGGAATCCGAGTCTCTTGAAACTAAAGTTGCTTTGATTAGGTCTTGTGATTGATCCAATGGTATCAGCGCAGTCCACTAATCTCTTAGGACTGGTGTTCGAGTTGGAAACAATTTTTTACCGTTGAATTTTTTGTTCTTTTTTTGGAAAGTTTTTTTTCCACTTGCAATATTCATTTTGATCTAGAGCCATAAAGATAGTGAATACTCTTGTATATTTCTTGATGCTTTTTTCTGGTTGGTTTTTTTCAGGAGAAAGTCTTCACATTTGTTCACGCTCAAAATTGACTCATGATGTTTTTTAAGTTCAGTTCACTTCCATTGTAAACAGGAAGAATAACTCCACTATCAGGCAGAAAAAGTGTAAAGGTCACAAAAAACGTCCTTGCGTTCAAGGTTTTTGTCCAACTCTGTTAGCCATGTTTATGTAGCCACCTGACAGTTTTAACGTGCAATAGGAAGTTTGGACCGAAAACTCAGAAAAGATATCAGATTATTTTTTGGAAGCTATTAATGAAAAGCCGTTTTGATGTTCGTAGATATTTAGTCAGTTTTCTGCAAATACATAATTTTTCGATTCGAAAAAAGTGACGGAATATTTGCGCTCGGGGGGATATTTTTCTCCAGACCAATTTCGACTTTCTAACTAGCTATTTTTGACCGGATTTTTTTAATCATCAGAAAGGTATTGTTCTGTGCTTTTTAAAAAAAAAGATATTTCACCTGATAATTCAGGGTTTAAAGATATCCAATTGATGTATTTGGGATCTTTTAAAGCGGCGATTTTTCGTGCTAATAACGCGTAAGAGGTGATTTAATCTATCTTAGAAATCGTTGCAAACTGAATTCAAGCTTGCTATGTGGTCTATTTAATACTTTGCTATTTGCCTTTTTATCACCTTGTACTTTACATAACTTGTGGGGAATGATTTCCGAAAATAACAACAAACATTTTTAAAAAAAAAAACCGTTTTCTGAAAGTCTGATCTATTTTATCAAACCGATTACCAGTTCATAGACATTACAGGGTAATCGGAAAATTCAGGGCGCTGCCCTGATACAAGCAGTCTCGTTTTGCTTAGTGCCGTGGAATTTCACTAACGAAAACCTATTTTATCTTGAAAAAATTTCTAAGTCATTGAACGAAAGTTTTGCCGTTTTACCATCGATATAGATTGCGGCTAGATGCATTCATTTCTTGTTTAATTAATGAAATTGAAGTCCGATAAATAATAAGATCTTCAATTAAAAAGGATGCCGGACGTTTTTAGATATCAAGACTGATTTGAGTTAAACAGTGGCATGTTAACCTGCCGAATGAACAATTTGCCGAAATTATCAAAAATCAGTTCGCAGAGTACTCGTCGAGTCGATTCGCTGCATTATTTTTAGCACTAAGATATTTTCGATAGTAACAAATTGTCTATTGTTGTGCACCGCTGGCTTTTTTGCGGCCTAAGTCTCCCTTTTGCTCACATCAGACGACATGCGACGACATAAGTGGACGACTCTCTAAATTACCGGCTTGAATGAGATGCATATTCTCTTATTGTATCTGTTAATGGTTATTAACATATAATGTAGCTTCGCTGAGAACTTGATGTAACTAGGTATAAAAATAAATCTTCCGCTTTTCCGGCTAACTGACAATTAGGTTTCTTGATTAATCACCAGTTGAACAACTGATATTGAATAAAACAAATATTTAAGTATCTGATTTCATTTTGAAAATTTTAAGTTTGCCCATAAACATCTTTGAATGACTCTGAACAAACCAATATATTAATACGCAACTCGAACAGTTGTTGTTCTTTTTCGAATCCGTATTTCAACCTCAAATGAAGTACAATCAGCTACAAACTCTACGTTATTACTAGGTTTACTAAAGCTGTCCTTCTGAACCTAATACTTAGTAAACCTAGTAACGTTGTGTTTTTGAAAACTTCCAATAATGTTCTAGTTTTTGGATATTCACTTGATACCTCAGTGGCAAAGTTTTCACAAAACTGACATTTGGGGATGAAATTCAATGCAAAAATAGATTAACATAATGTAAGGTCTGTGCTAATTTTACCTTCGTTAAAATCAAAATGTCTTAATCAATGTACCACTTGACAAGCTGATTATCGATTAAATATCGTTTTGGTTGAAAACCTTACATTTCTTGGTGAGAAAGGCTTTGTTGTGCTAATTCAAAAACTTTTTTTGTTACGTTTTAATCATAATAATCGCATCGAAATCTTGTTGCTTTTTTTGTTCCAGGCTTTGCTGTGGACAGATGGTCGGTACTTTCTGCAGGCGGAGAAGGAACTGGACCCTGACCACTGGCAGCTCATGAAAATGAACACACCCCCATTCCCAGAGATACACAAGTGGCTGGCCGACAACTGCTCCAGGTACTTTGCACTTCAGCCAGACAAATACATTTATAGATAGACCCCAACACTGTAGAAAATCGCACATACTGTCAAAAAGTCTAACCCCTTCATCCCCCGGTTATTATCGACTCCTTGCGAATCGTCGACTCCTTGCGTGTTTTCGAAGTAGATTCATTCGTGTATATTTTCCGTTTTTTACCCATCAATTTGTTTTATACCACGTTTCGCTTTTTTCTTAAAAAAAATTAATGCATAATTCCAGCATGATTTTTAAAATCCGCATGATGTATCATCATCCAAATACTTTTAGTTTCAAAAATGTGAGCTTTTGTTTTGAACTTAAGTTTGGTTCAAAATTAAAACTTGAACACGGCTCATGTATCAATTGTTGCTGTTCTAGGGGATCCTATGTGGGGATTGATCCGACTCTGATCTCGGAGAACACGTGGCAGAAGTGGGGAAAGGAGCTCGCGACTCGGGAGTCCAAATTGGTGCCTGTTTCGCAGAATTTAGGTAGGTAGCATTTCAAGTATTCACAGTCTATTGAAATAGCTATTTTGACGATTGTTTAAATCAACTGAGGAACTGAATAGCTCATTAACAATCTCAGTCTCATTTTTGTCTAGAAAAAAGTTCAAAGTATCAGCTAGACTTTGCTAACTTGGTTGGTGAAAAAAAAACTATTTTCTCTTCTACGCGAACATTTATTTCAACACTTTTCTCAAACAGGGATTGGTGCAGCGCTTTTCCCGCAAAAAAAGAAATTTTACTTTTTTGATGATGTCATGACCTTGAGGTACTTTCCATAGACGCTTTTACAAGCAGTAAGTATAAAAGTAAGGCCTTCATGCCTGACCGACTTGGGCTTCAGTGGCTTCAAATTTAAATTCTAGACGCGATAAAAAAAGGCTGAGTCGCAAAAAAAAAATTAAAATATGTGTTTAGTTGACATGGTTTGGGCAGAGGCAGCTGAAGAGAGGCTAGCTTATGAAGAGAAAGAGGTAAGCGCCATCTTGTGTTACATTGATTGTGTAAGTTGGATGTCAACCGAGTTAAGAGGGATTGTGTGGTGCTATTTCATCGTGATAAAAGTAATGCGATGAGTTTCGATATTTTCGCCCAAAGTTCATTTCTAAGACCTTAAAGCCATATTACCTTAAAGAAAGCAAGAATAGGCGGTTACTGTGCAAGTAGCCCAGAATGTTCCGACCACAGTCTTATAAAATACAAAAATGTTTTTTTTTTCTTCAAATTTGTGTCGTTTTTTTCTGCATGTTATGATGAAAAGATCTGAACAAAATAATAGATTTTAGGCATGTTTGAGAGCCATAGTAAAATAGGTCAATTGGAAAACAGTATTTGCAGAAAAGGACTGGAAAAACAAAAAAAAATTGAAAAAAAGTACACATTTTATTTTCAAATATTTTTTGCAAAAATTTTTTTAAGGTTCATGTTTTTGATTCCCAAAATTGCGCTAAAAAACTTCAAAAACTATATATTCTTGAGTAAAACTAAGTTTTCATGCCATAAATTGAGCTTAAATAAGCTATTGTAAGCCTACACGGCTCATTAGCTGGAAAGTAGACCTAACTAATTAGCTCGAGTTTAGACCAAAAATTTCAAACCGGTTTTTCTCGACACTGTGAAAATTTTTGGAAACTATTAATGTCGTTCGAATCACTACTAAAAAGGTTTCAATATGGTATATCACTCAACTCTGTCCGATGATTATTTGTGGTAGCTGATTTTGCGTGGAAAACAAAAAGAAAAAACTAAAGTTTACCTACCCTAATACAAAGTTCTTCCCCATTTTCAATGGTCGGAACAATAACCACTTTCCGCTTTACATTTTATAATCAAGTTGCTGTTATTAAACCATGTTTTTGAAAAGTAATTCTATCCTGGAAGTTTTGGATGCGAAGTATTGTGTGAGAATAAGAATTGAAAAGAAAACCAATGCAGCACCGCTGGTGAACCTTTATTAAGAGACGAGAAGAGCCTTTATTGTTCGGGCTCCAATGTACTTAGTCGCGGTTTGACTTGACTTCTTTTAAAGTTCACTTCATTTCCTTTATTAAGTGGAAGGCAAAATTCAGCTATCGAACAGAAATTTATTTTAAAAAAATTTATCAAGTTTAAATTTAATTTAAATTATGTTTTCTCAAATTGGGTTAATAATATCAAAAAAGTGTCAATCATAATTTGTTCGAGAAACTCAATTCTATTCTTCTTTTTCTAACCGACTATTCTTTTTTTCTAACCTAAGTCGCAAATATTGGTGCCTCTTTTGGGACACCTTGAGGGTTTTTTGATAGCATGTGCTTTGTTATTCGAATAGTAATAAGTTAACACAGTGAACCAATCAAATGAATAGAAAAAAGCTGTAAAGTTTATAAAGTGAAGACTGTTGATTGTTTTGTGAAGCTGTTCGTGTACCCCCTGCAGTATGCGGGTGAGAAGTGGGAGGGGAAAGTGGACAGAGTGAAGGCTCAGATGGAAGAAGAGAAGTGTGAACTACTCGTAGTGTCCGAGTTGGACGAGATAGCCTGGCTCTTTAATCTCAGGCAAGTTTCATAAATTCCTTGTCTTGACGATTCACTCATTTTTTCTTCAACAGTGCGGAGAGAATTATTAAGCACGTGGGAAAGTAGAAAATAAATTACCGGTGAGTGAAATGTCACGAAACGATGCTATAGACTCAGTAGTTGTTTGTTCCAACCACCGCAAATGTTAAGACTTTTTTTACTTGCAAAAAGAAAAGTCTCAACATCTTCGGTGGCTGGATTAAACTTGTTTTCTAGGCAAGAAGATACTTGAATTGAAAATGTCTAGGAACGCTTAGAATTACAAACAGCCTACTATATATTGACCTCTGCGACAAGCAGGGTATTGCATATGGGTACTGGACTTTTGGTTTCCCCGTCAATGACTTTTTTTTCACAAAATGGAATTCGAATGGATGAAATGGTAATAAGCATATTGTATAATTCTGACTATGTTATATAAACTGCTAAGAGGGTAATAACATGGTTAATGCATTGAATATTGTATACGTGTCTTGGGTAAAGTATATTTTTTATGTGCTGAAATTTTTAGTCATTGTAGGTCGGTCGGCTTTAATTCTGTTGGCTAATTTTCCTTATTTATTTTTTCTAAAACCAGCGTAGCGTACGTAGTGTGATAATACGCTTCAACATTATTTCCAACCTAAGTTGCAACTAAAAGTGCTACTTTTGGTGGCACTTTGAATCGGTGGACTACAATAACATTATAATTCCAAGTGCTCTGCCGTTTGATTAGTAATGTTGTTGTTGTTGTTGTTGTTAGCCCACGCGGGTCGGGTTGGGCTCTTCTGTCTCCAGGTCAAGGAACTTAGCAACCTCTACCGGCCGAAGCCACAGGTCTGCTGGGGTGAGTGGGGAGGGGTTTTGGGAGCAGTTGAAAAGGTGACATGTTGTGTGGGGGGCAAGGGAACAGGTTGGGCAAAGGTGGGAGATGGAGCTGTCGAGGCGGGATAGGTAAGTGTTAAGGAGCCGGCTGTAGCCAGACCGGAGTTGGGAGAGCTTACAGCGCGTGGGACGTGGGAGAGATTTTTCAGAGGGGTCAATCTTTGGGGGAGGGATACAAATAACTTTAGACGGAGGGGTTTCGGCTAGGAACTTGGTTACAAGGGAGGTATGGTTGTCTTTTAAAATTGGTTTGTAGTAGTTAAAAATAAAAGTGGAGACTTCGTCTCGGTCGTCCAGAACTAGAGGGTGGTTTGCGTAGACTGAAAAGTCGGTTAAAATTTTCTGGGTGTCTTCTTTGAAGCAGCTTATAATTGAGGGGCGAAGTAGACGGGGAGGAGGGGGATGTGAATGTATAAAATTAATGGGATGGTGGGAACGATAGGTAGAGATAAAAAATTGAGATGACAGAAGGGTATGGTGGTCTTTGACCGTTAGGATTTCAGATTCACTGTGCAGGTGGGCAGTTGAACTCATTAGATTTGATCCAGTAACAACGCGAAGGGATTGGTTTTGGGCAACCTGCAGGCAATTTATGGAGGTGTTACTTGATGCGTGGGACCATGCGGGGGCTGCATAGTCAAGTATGGGGCGAATTAAAGCTTTAAAAGTTAGGAGGAGGGTTTCTTTGGAGTGACCCCAGGTTGATCCTGCTAATGCCTTCAGGATTCCGATCCTGCGTCTGGCCTTTTCAGCGGATTGTTTGCAGTGAGTGGCAAAACAAAGTGTTGGATCAAATGTCACCCCTAAGATTGTTGGATTTTTGTTTAGGGGTAGCGCCTCGTTATTTAAAAGAACACTAGGTGTTTTATTAAATTCTTTGTTATAAGAGGAGAAAAGTGTAACTGATCCTTTAGAGGACGCGAAACTTAGTTTGCGTGAGGTGAAAAAATCGTAGAGCCTTTTTAGGTAGCTATTGAGGGAGTTTGAGGCGATATCAATATTGGAACTGCTTGCGAAGGGGTGGAAATCGTCTGCATACGAAACAAGGTTTACATTATCGGGAGGTGGCGGTGCATCATGGACATAAAAATTGAAGAGTGTGGGTGATAAAACAGAACCTTGGGGTACGCCACAGTGGATTATTCGATGGGGGGATGTGTGTTCACGGAATGAGGTGGCAGCCTGTCGACCATTAAGGTAATTACTTAGCCAGCGGACTAGACTTCTTGGGAGGGGAGTGTCATGAACGAGTTCCACAAGTGAGCGATGACACACCATGTCGAAAGCCTTAGATAAGTCAAGTGTGGCCAGTACCGTACGTTTAGGGGGGCGATTTTGGTTAAAACCGTCTGAAATGTAAAATTCGAGAGTGGAGAGAGCTGTGGTGGTGGAGTGAAAAGGGCGGAAGCCGTGTTGGTGTTTGGCGTTGGGGAGATGTTTGGTAAAGATGGGGTGAACGAGCCTCTCCAGAATTTTAACTGCTGGGCAGAGTAAGGATATAGGTCTGTAAGATGTTGATTGTTTAAGATCCTTATTGGGCTTTGGAAGCGGTGCAATTTTTGAATTTTTCCAAATTTGGGGGATAATGTTTTCGGACAAAGAGATATTAAAAAGGTATGTTAAGTATTGAGTAGCAAGTGGGCCGAGATGTTTAAGATGGATATTACAGAGGCCGTCGGGACCTAGCGCTCGCGATGGTTTGCTGTCTGCAATGGCTTGTTTAGTATTTTCAGGGGTAAAAATTGGGCTGTCTGACAGTGGTAGTTTGGCAATTTTTCTTCTCGTTATACGAAGGAGTTTGTCAGAGGCGTGGGGTCTGGCATTGGTGAATTGTTTGTTAAAAGAGCTGGTAATATCACGAGGTGAGTGTATGGGTTTAGAACCAAAAGTAATGGGGTGTCTTCCTGCCACGGGCTTAGATCCATTTAAGGAGCGTACCACTTTCCAGAACTTTCTGGCACCAGTGCGGTAGTCGCAAGTCCGGAGGAATTCTCGCCATTTATTTTCTTTGTCCTTTGCTGTCTGTTTCATGAGTCTACAGTTCAGTTGGGATATGACTTCTGGGGGGAGATTTTGTTTTCGGCTTAAATCTCTTTCGGCGGCTAGGGCAGTGGACTCGGGGGAAAGAGAGGGAGTGAAGTGGCGAATACGGCCAGCGGGGATGTGGTGGCGTGCTGCCCTGAGCACCAGGTCCCTCAAGAATTTCTCTCCAGCGGCAACTCCGGAAGGTGGAACCGCTGAAAAGAAACCCTCCTCAATTTCCTCTGTGAATTTGATCCAATCTGCTTTTAAAAAATTTACAAAAGTCCTTTTAGGCGAAAAATTTATAAAATCATCCAAGGGTAGTTCTAGAAGAATGGGTAGGTGATCTGATCCTAGAGATTTAATTGGGGTCCATGATGTGGAGAGTAAGAGCGATTGGGATGCGAGGGAAATATCTGGTGACGAGAGTTGGTTTTCTGAGTTAAAAGGGACTCTGGTTTGTGTGTCATCATTTAATGGAGCAAAGGTGGATTCGGTTATTTCATTGCTAAGTACAGAGCCGCGTTGATCTTCCTCGATGTTGGAGTTCCATAGTTGTGAATGTGCGTTGGCATCTCCGAGTACTAAGGCGTCCCCAGGTTCAAGTAGTTCGGCAAGGGACGCAGAGTAACCAGGGGGACAGCTCGAGCGAGGGGGGATGTAGAAATTATAAATACGAAGCTTGGATGAACTGGCTACCACTGATATGCCCATAGCCTCTAGTGTTCCATCGTTGTTAATATTTATTTCTTCGTATTGTATCGACTCATGTATGGCTATGAGAAGACCGCCCCCTTCTTTTTCTCGATCTTTTCTAATTAAAGTGTAGTGTGAGCCAAGTGAGGGGTTTCGAGATTTCTTTCTTAATTTAGTTTCTTGGAAGACAGCAATATGAATTTGATTTTGAGATAAGAAAGCAGCAATTTCGGGTGCTTTTCCGGAGATACCGTTGCAATTAAATTGAAGGATTTTTAAAAGGCCTTTGGCAGGGTGTGGTGAACTATTTACATTATTAACAGCAGTATGATTAAAATGGTTGTTTGAACTTGAGTTATTTACACTATTTACACGATTACGATTTGCGCGATTTTGGGAGGAGGAATTATTATTCGAGGAGGTGGGAAGGGTGGGAGGGGGAGGGGGTTAGGGAGGTGGGGTTGGGGGGCGGTTAGGGAAGTTGAACAAGTTTGGGAGTTGGGGGTGGTCAAGTTAGAGGACCTGGTGCCTGGGGGAGGTAAAATGTAGGTAGAGGTACAGGTAGGGCAATAGTAGTCAAGGTGGTGTTGGTTAAGGTGGGTAAGACCACTACATTTAAGGTGAATGTAACCACAGATGTGGCACCAGACGCTGGGCTGGGTGCGTTTGATGCGGAAAGAGCAAGGGGAGCAAAAGTAAGGCCCTGGACCAGGGTTTGGATTAATGCCGGAGCGGAGTAGTAGTATAAGGATGAGCAGACGGAGCAGCCTGGCCGGCTTCAGACGCTCCGTAACCGAAAACCCGGAGACTTCGGAGCTTCTCCCGACCCAATGGGAGGGGGGGCTTGACGCCATTTGCATCTTGGTGGGGCCCAAGATGTCGGATCCACCACTGGAAGGCGGCGTCGTCTGGATCCTTTGATTAGTAATAAGCTAGCACAGTTGATGCTTGTTTGATTGAACAATTAAAGCAAAAAGAACTATTTGTTTCATACAACAGTATAAAAATCGAAATCCCATTTAAAAATTTTTCCAGTTGTGTGGTTGCCTTTAGATTTTTTCATTCTCAATTATTACATGCAATTTTGGACTGTTTTGGGCCTTTTAATTCCTCTCGAATCTTAGTCGCTTTCTTGCTCTTGTTTTCATATGAGTTAAAGTTCTCTCTGGAAAATTCGTTGTTATCATATGAATTAAAATTGTACGTACGCAAAATTTTCTAAGAAAACGTTAATAATTCTCGCAAGACTCTTTTGGATAAGAATAAAAAATACATAAAATGTCTCTAGCTTGGTAAATTTTTGGCTTTTCTTATTTTCCAAAATATTGTTTCCAGATTTTGAATCGCTTTAAGTTTTATGAAAAGTTAACGTTTTTTGAATGATACATTTGTTCTTCAATTGAATTGTCTTCTTCCCAGCTAACTTGTGTTAGCTCTTCTAAAACCAACTGAAATTGTTAGGCTTTCTTAAGTTTTTTCTTTTCAGAAGCTAGTGATTTTAAAAGTATTAATTTTCTCTTTGATTTACAAATAGTTTTATCGCTTGTTTTCTGAGCGACTGGGCCCGCTGCAGGCATGGTTTGAAAACCATTTGGAGTTGAACTGAAGTTTTAGTTTTTTTGCATCGCAATTGGTGCGAATGTCTGCTCGACCTCTGTGTTTGAAATGCATCGGCACCAATTATTTTGTTTGTTTGATAAAATATTCATATAAGTTGTTGATGCAATTGATTTTTGAATTCTCCGAGAGATATGCCAAATGCTAGCGATTCGTTTTTCGGTAACCTTTGTGACTTCATTTTTTATACGTTTTGCAAGATATTACGAGCCTGATTTTAGGTATTAGATCATGTAGTTTTTAATGCAGCCTCTTGCCGCTGAATCTTTGCTTTTTTGTTGCTCGATCGACTGTGGGCATTACCTCTAGAGTTCTCATGTTTCTGTGCTTCCAAAGTGTCCATAGATGGGTCTTTGGTTTTACTGAAACAATAGAAAGTTTTCAGAAATCCATTTTCGTTATCATTAGTTATGCTTGCAGAAGTTTGCTTTTGAGCAGTAAATCACACGCTTTATCAAATTTTTTATGTTGAAAACAGACTTTGATTTCCCAGTTTATTTGCCTCTTTAATTAATTAAGTTTTGAAATTTGTAGATTTTCAAAAAAAAAAATGCGCTATATGTTTTATGAGACTAAAAGTTTGAGGAAACTAATCGGAGCATTCTAGCAAACTACGTTCCGCCAAGAGATAGTGAAGATGCTCGAGCCATATTTCATAGAAGTTTGTTAACATGTACAGAAAAACTTTCTTTTTTTAGTTAACGAGCCCGAAGGCCTAAGTCGGAGGTTAATTACTTAGGTTTACATGAGCGTATATATTCAGCTCCCTTTAAGCTATGACTTACTTGCAACAACTCACCTTACAATTTGCAGCGCACGTGCGATTTGAACCAGCCATCATATGATTGCTTGGCACTATCAATACGGGAGTGCCACAATACTTGCTCAAGAAAATCCTAAAACGTCTTTGAAACTTTAACTTCGTGAATCTAATGAAAAACCGAGTACCTACATTTTTCACAATTACATAAAAGAAATTCTGTTTTTTTCCGAGTTGAAAGTGTGGCGATTATTTTTCTTCCATTTGGCGATTTCATCAATCATTTTCCAGGTTTGCCGCAGTTCGCAAGATCAGAAAAAAAAGAAGAAAAGTGCTCAAATGTTGTTTTTAACTGTTGCTCGAGCTGATATGCGAAATTTTCGAAAAGTAAGGTTAAAATTAGGTAACGCTCCTTTTAATCATTTTTGAGTCAGTTTGAAAATTGCGGCTTGGCTTCGCTGGAAAGCAAAAATTCAAGCTATCACAGGCAGATCGAAAGTTTATTTCCAGGAGGTTTGAATCTGAGGTTGATCTTTTGACCTTCACGGAAACAACAATTATTTCGCCGTTTTTCATCTTGGTTTGTAAGCTTCGTTTCAAATGTTGGAAAGAGTTTTGTTGTTGTTTCAGGGGATCAGATATTGAGTTCAATCCAGTCTTTTTTGCCTACGCTATCATATCAGCCAATCAGAATCCACTTCTCTTTGTCAATCAATCAAAACTCACCTCAGAGGTCAAACAACACCTTGAAGGCGTAGTTTTAAAACCATATGAGGAAGTATTTACAGTACTGGATGAGATGGTCCAGAAATGCGTGGAGCAGAAATTGAAGGTCTGGATGGGTCCGCAAGTGAGTCATGCGCTGGCATCCACAGTGACTGGAAAAGACGAAAAACTTCTGCTGGTGAAGAACACGCCGACCAAAATGCTTAAGGTTAGTCTAGTTCGTTCAATTTGACTGTGGTGATGGCTCTACGCTTAATTTTTCTCCAAAAATACTATTAAGGCTCTATGTTCCCAATGTGACCTTATGCTGAACTCTGTTTTTCTGCATAGTGGGCAAAATTTTGAAAAAGTTTGTTACAGTGCACTTTTCGATTATTAAAAATTAATTTTTTAGCGCGCGCTCCTCAGTCAAAATTAGTACATATTGGCGCTAAAATTCCTTTTTTGAAAGTAACTTTTCCTTAATTGAAAAATCGACCATAGAGGGATTTGAACCCCCAATGTGCTGATTCCAAGAAAGACGCCTTCTCCGTTAGGTCATGCGGTCGTTGGAATGTGTAAGCTTCAAGTGTTGTGGTTGCTAGTGTTTTTTTGTTAAATTGGCCTGAAATTTGTGCAAAGTTAGGTTGCTAATCAGTTAATTGCTATCAAGTATGATATTTCCATCTGCTGTGACTTGTCTGAAAAAATCTTCTCAAGAATGCGAAATCTCGACCACAGTGGGATTCGAACCCCTATAATTGCATTCGAAGTTAGATGCTTTATCGAATAGGCAATGCGACCGTTGGAAGGTTGTCGTCGATACGCGTAAATCTTAAGTGCTCTGTTCGCTTCTGTTCTGTTGTTTAATTGAGCTAAAGTTTGGTACAATTAGTTTGCAGAGCAGTTCCTTGCTATCAAGTTTGATGTGTAGATGCTGTGAATTCTCTGAAAATACCTTCTCAAGAAATGAAAAATCAACCGCAGAGAAATACGAACGCACTATCGTCTGATTTGAAGTCCGCGCGTTATCCATTGGGCCATGTGGCAATTGAAAGACAGTCAAAACGTTTTGATATGAATTGTGCTGGTTATAGCAATTCCTTGCTATCAAGTTTGAATTTTTTGTTTACTGGGAATAGCCTGAAAATAGGATGTATCCAAATTTCTCTGGATGTTAGTGTTGTGTTACTTAGATGAGCTTAAGTTTCGAAAAATCAGCTTGTATGGCAGTTCTGTGCTATTACATATGTATTTTTTCTGCCGTGAAAAGTCTAAAAATACATTCTCATTAACTGAACAGTCGACGACAGAGGGACACATATTAACGTTTCCTGACTCAAATTGAGATACGTAATCCGTTGAAGGGTTGTCAAAACTTGTACATATAGCATGTTCGTGAGCCAGTGTATTGTTGTTTGGATGAGATAAATTTTGTGAAAATTTAAGTTGTCATAGCAGTTCCTTGCTGTGGTCGACTTTTCAGAGGGATTCGAACCCCCAATCTTCTGATGCGAAGTCAGACGCCTTATCCGTTAGGCCATGCGGCCTTTGAAAGGTTTTCGAAATGGGTAGATTTAAACTGCTCTGGCTTCCGTTGTTTTACTGCTAAGATGAAAAAATTTTTGGGAAAATTTAATTGGCGCAGAAGTTTTTTGCTGTCAATCATGATGTTTTTATCTGGTGTGCATTAATCGGAAATTACCTCCTCAAAAAATAAAATTCGACCACAGAGGGATTCGAACCTCCAATTTTCTGATTCGAAGTCAGACGCCTTATCCGTTAGGCCTTGCGGATGTTGGTATCTGTCGAATTGTTTAGATTTGAACTGCTCAAGATGCCGTTGTTTTCCTGCTTAGATGAGCAAATTTTTCTGAAACGTTAGCTAGCGGAGAAGTTCCTTGCTGTGAATCATTATCTTTTTATCTGATGTGCATTATCTGAAAATACCTTCTCAAAAAATGAAAAGTCGTCCACAGAGGGATTCGAACCTCCAATCATCTGATTTGAAGTCAGACGCCTTATCCGTTAGGCCATGCGGCCTTTGAAAGGTTTTCGAAATGGGTAGATTTAAACTGCTCTGGCTTCCGTTGATTTACTGCTGAGATGAGCAAATTTTTGGGAAAATTTAATTGGCGCAGAAGTTTTTTGCTGTCAATCATGATGTTTTTATCTGGTGTGCATTAATCAGAAATTACCTCCTCAAAAAATAAAATTCGACCACAGAGGGATTCGAACCTCCAATTTTCTGATTCGAAATCAGACGCCTTATCCGTTAGGCCATGCGGCCTTTGAAAAGTTTTCGAAATGGGTAGATTTAAACTGCTCTGGCTTCCGTTGTTTTACTGCTTGGATGAGCAAATTTTTCTGAAACATTAGCTAGCGGAGAAGTTCCTTGCTGTCAATCATTATGTTTTATCTGCTGTGCGTTATCTGAATTTATCTTCTCAAAAAATGAAAAGTCGACCACAGAGGGATTCGAACCCCCAATCTTCTGATTCGACGTCAGACGCCTTATCCGTTAGGCCTTGCGGATGTTGGAATCTATCGAGTTGTGTAGATTTGAAACGCTCAAGATGCCGTTGTTTTCCTGCTTAGATGAGCAAATTTTTCTGAAACGTTAGCTAGCGGAGAAGTTCCTTGCTGTGAATCATTATCATTTTATCTGATGTGCATTATCTGAAAATACCTTCTCAAAAAATGAAAAGTCGTCCACAGAGGGATTCGAACCTCCAATCATCTGATTTGAAGTCAGACGCCTTATCCGTTAGGCCATGCGGCCTTTGAAAGGTTTTCGAAATGGGTAGATTTAAACTGCTCTGGCTTCCGTTGTTTTACTGCTGAGATGAACAAATTTTTGGGAAAATTTAATTGGCGCAGAAGTTTTTTGCTGTCAATCATGATGTTTTTATCTGGTGTGCATTAATCGGAAATTACCTCCTCAAAAAATAAAATTCGACCACAGAGGGATTCGAACCTCCAATTTTTTGATTCGAAGTCAGACGCCTTATCCGTTAGGCCATGCGGCCTTTGAAAAGTTTTCGAAATGGGTATATTTAAACTGCTCTGGCTTCCGTTGTTTTACTGCTTGGATGAGCAAATTTTTCTGAAACATTAGCTAGCGGAGAAGTTCCTTGCTGTCAATCATTATGTTTTATCTGCTGTGCGTTATCTGAATTTATCTTCTCAAAAATGAAAAGTCGACCACAGAGGGATTCGAACCCCCAATCTTCTGATTCGAAGTCAGACGCCTTATCCGTTAGGCCTTGCGGATGTTGGAATCTATCGAGTTGTGTAGATTTGAAACGCTCAAAATGCCGTTGTTTTCCTGCTTAGATGAGCAAATTTTTCTGACACATTAGCTAGCGGAGAAGTTCCTTGCTGTCAATCATTATCTTTTTATCTGCTGTGCATTATCTGAAAATACCTTCTCAAAAAATGAAAAGTTGTCCACAGAGGGATTCGAACCTCCAATCAGCTGATTTGAAGTCATACGCCTTATCCGTTTGGCCATGCTGCCATTGCAAGATTTTCGAAATGGGTAGATTTAAAATAATCTGGCTGCCGTTGTTTTACTGCTTGCATGAGCAAATTTTCTGAAACATTAGCTAGCTGAGAAGTTCCTTGCTGTCAATCATTATGTTTTATCTGCTGTGCGTTATCTGAATTTACCTTCTTAAAAAATGAAAAGTCGACCACAGAGGGATTCGAACCCCCAATCTTCTGATTCGAAGTCAGACGCCTTCTCCGTTAGGCCTTGCGGATGTTGGAATCTGTCGAGTTGTGTAGATTTGAAACGCTCAAGATGCCGTTGTTTTACTGCTTGCACGAGCAAATTTTCTGAAACATTAGCTAGCGGAGAAGTTCCTTGCTGTCAATCATTATGTTTTATCTGCTGTGCGTTATCTGAATTTACCTTCTCAAAAAATGAAAAGTCGACCACAGAGGGATTCGAACCCCCAATCTTCTGATTCTAAGTCAGAAGCCTTATCCGTTAGGACATGTGGCCGTTAGAAGGTTTCCGAAGTGGGTAGATTTAAAATGCTCTGGATGCCGTTGTTTTACTGCTAAGATGAGCAAATTTTTGGGAAAATTTAGTTAGCGCAGAAGTATTTTGCTGTCAATCGTGATGTTTTTATGTGGTGTGCATAATCGGAAATTACCCTCTCAAAAAATGAAAATTCGACCACAGAGGGATTCGAAGTCAGACGCCTTATCCGTTAGACCATGCGGCCGTTGGAAGGTTTTCGAAATGGGTAGATTTAAAATGCTCTGGATGCCGTTGTTTTTCTGCTAAGATGAGCAAATTTTTGGGAAAATTTAATTGGCGCAGAAGTTTTTTTGCTTGTCAATCATGATGTTTTTATCTGGTGTGCATAATCGAAAATTACCTCCGCAAAAAATAAAATTCGACCACAGAGGGATTCGAACCCCCAATCTTCTGATTTGAAGTCCGCGCGTTATCCATTGGGCCATGTGGCAATTGAAAGACAGTCAAAACGTTTTGATATGAATTGTGCTGGTTATAGCAATTCTTTGCTATCAAGTGTGAATTTTTTGTTTACTGGGAATAGCCTGAAAATAGGATGTATCCAAATTTCTCTGGATGTTAGTGTTGTGTTACTTAGATGAGCTTAAGTTTCGAAAAATCAGCTTGTATGGCAGTTCTGTGCTATTACATATGTATTTTTTCTGCCGTGAAAAGTCTAAAAATACATTCTCATTAACTGAACAGTCGACGACAGAGGGACACATATTAACGTTTCCTGACTCAAATTGAGATACGTAATCCGTAAAATCAAGCGACCGTTGAAGGGTTGTCAAAACTTGTACATATAGCATGTTCGTGAGCCAGTGTATTGTTGTTTGGATGAGATAAATTTTGTGAAAATTTAAGTTGTCAAAGCAGTTCCTTGCTGTGGTCGACTTTTCAGAGGGATTCGAACCCCCAATCTTCTGATGCGAAGTCAGACGCCTTATCCGTTAGGCCATGCGGCCTTTGAAAGGTTCTCGAAATGGGTAGATTTAAACTGCTCTGGCTTCCGTTGTTTTACTGCTAAGATGAGCAAATTTTTGGGAAAATTTAATTGGCGCAGAAGTTTTTTGCTGTCAATCATGATGTTTTTATCTGGTGTGCATTAATCGGAAATTACCTCCTCAAAAAATAAAATTCGACCACAGGGATTCGAACCTCCAATTTTCTGATTCGAAGTCAGATGCCTTATCCGT